CGACAGTGGAAGTTATAACTATGGATCTGGAGGGTATTCGAGGAGCACCATGAAATCCCAACAAAAACTGTGGAATACACTAAACCGGTGCATGTACCAGTTGTAAAGAAGATCGGAATTCCTGTTCCTCATCCAGTGGGAATACCAGTTCCTCAAGTTATTAAAGTCCCGGTACCACAACCGTACCCAGTTCACATTCCTGTACCACAACCGATTGCTGTACCAATCTACAAGTTGGTGCCACAAGAAATTGAGAAGAAGATTCCGATTGTTGTTGAGAAACCAGCTCCATACCATGTAGAGAAACCATACAAAATCGAAGTTGAAAAGCATTATCCAGTTTACATACCAAAACCATACCCAGTCCATGTACCAGTCTTCAAGCATGTTTACCACCATGTACCAAAACACGGAGGAAGCAGCGGTGGAAGCAGTGGAGGTCATGGCTGGCACTGAATTTAAGATACTTGGAAATTCTTAAGTATCTTTAGTCCAATTCAGTACTCATACCTATCATCATAATCATCTCATTCGTTATCATTTATATGTTAATATCATTGTTGCTATGTTTGTAAGTTTGTTATAGAAAAATAATAAAAATATTATTTCATATCTCAATTTATTTTTTAAAACATACATAATAACTTTCACCAAGTCCATAATTTGTACGTGACACGCCTATCTCTATTGATTAAAGATTCTTATATTAAACCTTATAAGATACATTGGGCCAATAAACTTTCCTTTATAATGAAGTTTTTATATGTATCGAATATTTAACTCGAAATGATTTCATCATCGTATTTCTACTTAACTATATATGTTTGATATAATAACATTATTATAAAAGTTAAACTAGATACATATCAATTTACTTTCTCTGCAGAATATTTCAATTCAATAGATGATTACAATTCAATATTGAAAGTTTAAAATTACTGGAATGTTAATTAAAATATGTTCATAATATTAAATGCTTTAGTTCGAAAATATTACCTAATTTATGCATCTTTGTATATAACTTTTCAATATTTATATTTAGTTTTTATAATAATCACTTGTCTTCTTTAAGTTTTAATACATTCTTGAATTACAATTATATATGTCTAAGGCATTGGTTTTCAACCATCCTCTTTTGTCTCAAGACACCTATAGTTAAATTTCCACGGCACACTTAAACCTATAGTTAAACTTCTGTGATGCTCTTAAGTACTTAATGAAAGTTTATTGGAAAATTATTGGCTTTTTAAAATTTTCGCAGCATACGTAGATTCTGCCATGTAAAATTAGTTGTTTTTGTGTACTTTGATCATTGATCAATAAAAAAATAATACAAATGTTTTGAATCTAAATATAAATTAATTAATAATTTTATTACTGAAAGAATGTATTTAATGTAAAATTATAAAATTTGTCTATGGTCTCATCATTAAACAATTATCTGTACACATTTTATTTGTCATTTTTTTCATTTTTTCAACTATTTAAATTCCAATTTGGATTTATTGATGTATTGATTTTCTGCATCCGTCATAAATATTGCTAATATATTTCTATCAGCATTAAATATTGAAAAAATAAATTATAATTTAAGGTTCAGTATGAATTATTTTTGCAAATAATAATAAGAAGTTTGTCCAAATGTAATATTAAGCTAACTTTTCAGAACAGAAAGTATGGAAACACATGTTTAATTGTGATATAAAAATTGTCACAAAAAATATAAAAATAAATTATATTATGCGCATTTATTTTAGATTTCACTGTTAATAAATAGTCTCATTCATAATTAATCATATATGGACAAGGTATAAATAATAGGAGTTGCGGTTCCGGTCATTAATTTTTGTATAATACATAACAAGTTGAATTCAAGCTCTTTTCAATTTCGGGTATAAAAGCAGGTCATCCGAAAGTAAACGGCATCAGTTGCAAATCGCAGCTTGTTCCATCATCATCAACATCCAAGAATCGCTATTATGAATTCATTTGTAAGTGTAGTAAACATGAGTATAAATGTGATATTTTACTCAAAAATTGTATTTTTTTGCAGGGATTTATCTTATTCGTGGCGTTTGCTGCAACAGCTTTAGCTGGGGATTTAAGTGGAGGTGAATACGACAGTGGAAGTTATAACTAGGATCTGGAGGGTATTCCGAGGAGCACCATGAGATTCCAACTAATACTGTCGAATACACTAAACCGGTGCATGTACCAGTCGTGAAGAAGATCGGAATTCCTGTTCCTCATCCAGTGGGAATACCAGTTCCTCAAGTTATTAAAGTCCCGGTACCACAACCGTACCCAGTTCACATTCCTGTACCACAACCGATTGCTGTACCAATCTACAAGTTGGTGCCACAAGAAATTGAGAAGAAGATTCCGATTGTTGTTGAGAAACCAGCTCCATACCATGTAGAGAAACCATACAAAATCGAAGTTGAAAAGCATTATCCAGTTTACATACCAAAACCATACCCAGTCCATGTACCAGTCTACAAGCATGTTTACCACCATGTACCAAAGCACGGAGGAAGCAGCGGTGGACACAGCGGTGGAAGCAGTGGAGGTCATGGCTGGCACTGAATTTAAGATACTTTGAAAATACAATCAAGTAACTTTAGTCCAATTTTGTTACTCATAACTATCATCAAAATCATCTCGTCCATTATCACTTTTTTTTATTATTTGTTGCTATGTTTGTAAGTGTTTGATAATAAAATAATTTTTTTATATATGAATCTCAGTTTATTTTTCTTAAGAAATCTAGCAAATTATGTTAAGACAGGTTTTTTAATAATTATATACTATTTTGTACTTAATTATTATTATATACATCAGCCTTATTATTTAAAATAATGTAATTTCTTGAAATTATTAAAGTGTATTATCTAAGAAACTACATATTTTAGTTTATTTCATTAAAACATAGAAATTTACTCATAGCCTTCACTTAGAATTGGAAAGAAAATAACATCAAAAATCAATTATTACTTAAATTTAGTTTTTAGTAGCTTTTCTTATGTTAATTATCTATGAGGCAATGTGATTCTAATTAATTTTCTTTAAAACTATCTATAGTGTTTGTAACTACAGTGGAACCTCGCATAACAAGCATTTCACTTAACGATCAAAATAAATTGTAAGGTAAATAACTCGCTTAACGAGCGACGTTTCGCATAACCAATGACTACGAGAAAACAAGTCTTTGATTGTGGGCTTGCTACATCATTTTCAAAGCTTGTGTACACATATTATGTGTATTTTTTAAATATATTTACCATTTTCACCATTTTTTGTCATCTTTACTTACAGCGGACTACACTTTGACAATATAATTTATGATGACTGCGCCATGAATTCAATTTTTGACGGATATATCCGCCTCTCGTCTGTAAATGGACAAATGTTTACGTGCAAATCTATTTGAAATTTACTTCTTTGGTTGCATTTCATTTTCGTTATACTCAGATGAGTATTTGAAATAGGATACTCGATATTAAACCGAAATTTTGTAGTATTTGATATGATTTTTTCATTTTTATATTTGTAACTTTGATATATGCAGTATTATTTAAATAAATTGTCTAATTATATAACTATTTGTTATAATAAATTTTTGTATTGATTCTTAATAATTGCATTGTACTATAATGAAAGTATTATAATAATTGTGTAATTCGATATTATTTCTAAGTGCAAGGTAATCAGAGTAGGGGCATGGTTCCATTCATTGAATAATAAACAAGATCAATATCTGCATTACGATCACTTATAGATTTTGCTATAAAAGCAGGCCATCCGAAAGTAAACGGCATCAGTTGCGAATCGCAGCTAGTTCAAGCATCACCATCCACACCCCAAGAGAAGTAATCATGAATTCATTTGTAAGTGCGAAACAGTGCGTGCAAAGAGTGCAAATACAAAATTTACTTTTCTTTACAGAGTTTCGTCTTGTTTGCGGCGTTGGCGACTGCAGCAGTTTATGCTGGTGACGTAAGTGGCGGTGGATACGAGGAGGAAACTCATGCATCTGGTGGTTATTCTGAAGAGCATCACGATATTCCAACTAATACTGTGGAGTACACCAAACCGGTGCACGTACCAGTGATAAAGAAGATCGGTATTCCCGTTCCACATCCGGTGGGAGTACCAGTACCTCAGATTATTAAAGTCCCGGTACCACAACCGTACCCAGTCCACATTCCGGTACCACAACCGATCGCTGTGCCAATCTACAAGTTGGTGCCACAAGAAATCGAGAAGAAAGTCCCGATTGTTGTCGAGAGACCAGCTCCATACCACGTAGAGAAGCCGTACAAAATCGAAATTGAAAAGCATTTCCCAGTTTACATACCAAAACCTTACCCAGTACATGTACCAGTCTTCAAGCATGTTTACCACCATGTTCCAAAGCACGGAGGAAGCAGCGGAGGTCATGGCCATCACTGAATTTAAGATACTTATGACAGAAATCGAAGTATCTTTAGTCACAAATGTGAACTGAAACTGTTATCATAATCATCTTATTCATGATCATTTCTTTGTTAATACTATTGTTACTATGTTTGTAAGTTTTTTTTTATACGAGAAATAAAAAATATTTTATCATACATTTATCTGCAATTTTCTTTTCTTTATATATAAATTTAAAAATTCACTAACAAAATACAATTCACTGACAAAAAACATTAATAAAATACAATAAAATTGTAAAATATAAAGTCTTAGCTATTCTTAAATATATGAAAGAATTTTATAGTCTTCAGACTCTTCTTAGCAAAATACTTTATTTTAAAATCATGTTTGATTTGGATTAAATTGGTTATTTTCCATTACATCAACACTTTCATTATAACAATATGTAGGAAAAAAACATGCTTAACAGCATAATCCGTTCCAAAATTACTCGCACAGTGAAACAGTTTTCCTCATATAAACTACTGTAATCCGATGAGATTTTGCTCGTTAAGCGAAATAGTCGTTATGCAAGGTGTTCGTTAATTGAGGTACCACTGTACAGTGGAACTTTGGTATAAGTCCTTAATCCGTTCGTAAACTTATACCAAACAAGACGTATACCAAACATTTTTTCCCCGAAGAAATAAAAAGTATCATCATATTATACAATAATGAGGATTCTATAATATAATTTAAACACTGCATAATACTAAAATTCGCAGATACAAAAGCAATTAGATGAAATAAATATAAATTTAACAAACTTTTAATTTCTCTTTTATATCTCTTTTACCTACTTAGACATGGATGAGGAACATCAAGATTGACGTTTACTAAAAATTTGTCGAAATAACTTTATTTCTTTCTTTTCCTGATGATGATTCAGAAATGTGATATTGTCTAATCAGTATAACCAATGCCTTTATGGCTTGTTTGTTTTTTAATGTCAGTAAAATATTTAAATATCGAAATCTAAATAATTTAATATTAGATCATAGGCTTCTTTTTAATATTTGTCCAGGTTAGTATATTTAGTAGTTGTTAGTAAATATCCATTAATAATATGTGTAATATTAAATATTTGCTGGAATCTACACATCTTTGTTTGTGAGATTTTGTTGAATCGATTAAAAATTAAATATAAAATTTTAATTGTTTTTTTTTTATGTAATCAAATCTCCAAAATAATAATATTAGGTGTGGTGATCCGGTTCCGGTCAGTAGTTTTTGTTATAGTGATGTATATATACATAACATGTTTCTTTTAAATGAAAATATATTTCGGGTATAAAAGCAGGTCAATCGAAAGTAAACGGCATCAGTTGCAAATCGCAGCTTGTTCCATCATCATCAACTACTACATCCAAGAATCGTAATCATGAATTCATTTGTAAGTGTAATAATTAGTATAATTAGGACATTTTATGACTTTATCTTTTTCTTGCAGAGTTTTATCTTGTTTGTGGCGTTTGCTGCAACAGCTTTAGCTGGAGATTTAAGTGGAGGTGAATACGACGGTGGAAGTTATAACTATGGATCTGGAGGATATTCTGAGGAGCACCATCAGATCCCAACAAAAACTGTGGAATATACTAAACCGGTGCATGTACCAGTTATAAAAAAGATCGGAATTCCTGTTCCTCATCCAGTGGGAATACCAGTACCTCAAGTTATTAAAGTCCCTGTACCACAACCATACCCTGTCCATATTCCGGTACCACAACCGATTGCTGTACCAATTTATAAGTTGGTGCCACAAGAAATTGAGAAGAAGATTCCGATTGTTGTTGAGAAACCAGCTCCATACCATGTAGAGAAACCATACAAAATCGAAGTTGAAAAGCATTATCCAGTTTACATACCAAAACCATACCCAGTCCATGTACCAGTCTACAAGCATGTTTACCATCACGTACCAAAGCACGGAGGAAGCAGCGGTGGATACAGCGGTGGAAGCAGCGGTGGATACAGCGGTGGATACAGCGGTGGATACAGCGGTGGAAACAGCGGTGGTCATGGCTGGCATTGAATTTAAGATACTTTGAAAATACAATCAAGTATCTTTAGTCCATTTTGATACTCATAACTATCATCAAAATCATCTCATTCATCATCATTTATATGTTAATACTATTGTTGATATGTTTGTAAGTCTGTTATAGAAACATAATAAAAATATTTACCACATTTAAAGTTTTATTAACAAAAATATATATACTTATTTTTTTTTTTACTTTCCGTAAGTAAATTATAAGAACTATTGACCACGTTTTTATGAGAACGCTAATTTGGAAAATTGTTAAAGAGGTAATTATTTGAATAAAACTATTATGATTTTTTTAATTCTGTGTTATTACTTATATATATATTTGTTTTTAATCTTTCTTGGATCTTGAATTCAGCGTTTATGTCTATTATATAAACCTTACAAGAATTTCTGATACTTTGACACTTGGTGACAGCTGTCATTAATAATGTATCCAATATTCGGTCACGACCCATAGGTTGAGAATCGTCGATGTATACTAACAGAACGGAATGTTTTTGATACAGTGACCAAGAAAATTTACCTTCTTGTAAATTACATTTTTTTTTGTTACCTGTAAACCATAACTAATTACTTAAAAGTACATAAACCAAACTGAAGATGTCACAAACTCTGCAAAAAATAGCAATTTTACACTTTCTAAATAATAAACTAATTGTATATATGAAAATTACGTTAACCATTTATTTTGAGTAGAAATGTACTTATAAAAATTTAAACTTGTTTTGCAAACGTTTTAAATTTCTTCTTCAATTAATTAATATTCACGTGCCAAAAAGTGCTTTCAATTATAAACAAGTAAATCATTAAAATTACTGGAAAGTGTTGTTTTATAAAGTTATCATAAAATTGGTCATACGTTATAAAAACACGGTAATAAGAAAGTTTATTGTTGCTTTAATTGGATTAAAATGCATTAATTGGATTGAAGATGTCTTTGCAAAAAACATAATAGTGATTGTGAACTTTCTAAATTTTTGACCAATTGTTTGTACGAAAATTGAATTAACCATTTATTTCGAGTAGAAATTAATTATAAAAATTAGAACGTATTTTGCAAAAATGTTAGAATTCAACTTCCTATTTCCTATTATTTATCAATAAATTCTTAAAATTATTAATATATGTTATTTCTGCTTCATAATACTACTATTTTTGTTATTTACTATGTTTATATAATACTTAAAACCTTTCGATCATTCTTATTTTTAATCGTAGTTCAATGAACGTCAGTGATCAAAATAGTAAAAGATTAAGTTATTTTTTTAAATACGCAACATTATGCTTTCCAAAGATGTTAAAATGAGAGCGATTTATTTTTGAGACTTTATTTAATAATACAAGGATATTTTCTCCAACGGTATTTCTTATAATCGTACTTCCTTAATTAGAAAGTCACGTTAAGCAATAAAATCTTCTTTCTTTCTGTGTTTGTTTAGATTTAATAGTAATTACAATTACATTTATTGATTAATTGGCCAAAATGTAATAGTTGCAAAAAAAATGTAATTATATTTAAGCTATCAAAATATTTACCCGCATTACTATAAATATGTTGATAGTTATTATTTGCATAATTTCAATTAGAACTTAAAATTTTCCTAAATATTTACTAAATAAATATTAATAATAATACAGATATGTTTCACTGTCTTTCCTTAAAATAAAGTAAAGTATTTTAAGATTTTGGTAGAATTTATAATAAATACAATGAATATAAATACAATTAAATAAGATATGATAAAAGTTGTTAATTGAGTTATTTATTTTATAAATTTAAATATTACTATAAACTAGTATAACACATCTGTGTTTTGTATCGTTTGAATTAATTAAAAATCAAATTAAGTAGGCAGATTCAAATTCGTAATGAGCACCAGTAATAAAATTTCTAATGAAAACACCGGTTTTCTCATTGAGAAATTCTTTTAATGTCGAACATATGAGAAATTTTTGTATAAAAGCCGCACCCGGCTGGACATAAGGCACCAGTTGCACACCGTTGCTACTTCAACAACCATCGTTTGCAAGTGTAGTTATCATGAATTCATTCGTAAGTGTTTTCCAGATCAGTGCCCGTAGGATTATTATATATAATTATTCATTTTGCAGAGTCTTATATTATTCGTGGCACTAGCTTCGGCCGTACAAGCGGGTTACAACAGTTACGATTATGGTGGCGGACAGTACGATTCAGGATCTGAACAGCAGCAAACTGAGGAACACCATCAGATTCCGACCAAAACCATCGAGTACACTAAACCAGTGCACGTTCCGGTTGTAAAGAAGATTGGCATTCCTGTGCCGCATCCAGTTGGAATTCCTGTACCTCAGATCATTAAAGTCCCAGTGCCACAACCGTACGCGGTTCATATACCAGTACCACAGCCAATTCAAGTGCCAATCTACAAACTGGTGCCACAAGAGATCGAGAAGAAGGTTCCGATTGTTGTTGAGAGACCAGTTCCGTACCACGTTGAGAAACCGTACGAGATCGAAGTCGAAAAACATTTCCCAGTCTATGTACCGAAACCGTATGCAGTCCATGTACCGGTTTACAAACATGTTTACCATCATGTTCCAAAACATGGAGGCAGCAGCGGTAAAAGTCATGGTCAAAGTCAAAGTCATGGCTGGAACTGAATTTGAGATGTTCAAGAAATGATAGCAATGTACCTTAATGAAATATTCTTGTTGTTACTAGATTTATAAGCATTATATTGTAATAAAAACTTATTTTTTTATATGACAATTTTTATTGGTCCATATGGCTTTTGAACGTAGTCTTTCTACCCTATTTGAACAAACTAAAATAATACTTATTTAAAAAAAAAGCCATTGATTACTAAGTTGGTACAAATAACTAACATTATCATGAGCAATATTTACCAATCAAACTAAATTTTGTCTTGATTTTGTGATGATTTAGATAGATACATTAATCTATTATTTAAATCAGAAGATGTTAATACATAAATCGTTATTACAACTTCTAACAAATTTGGAATTGGATGTTTTTAGTTTTAAATGTATTAATCAAAAGATCTTATTGAATAAATCATAGAAACAGAAAAATTAGTAAAAGCTTGTTATGAAGAAGATATTAAATGAGTCTTAGAAACATGAAATTGTAGTTTACTTTTATCGCTCAAAATATGAAGAAAATCTTCAATAAATTGACAAACTATTAGGATTAGAATGAACTAGAATAGATTTAATCATTTTAATTTACGATTTGGATATATTTTAATTTCAGACAATACAAATTATTTATTTTTTTTATAAAAACTATGAAATTTTGCTGCTGATAAAATTGAATTAAAAAAAGAAATATAGTTGAGTTGCATTACATTAATCCTTTATGGACAAAGAAACTAAGATTCGATGACGACAGTAGTCATGTATACAATTTTACATAAGCGAAGTCCCTGTGTGAAGGATGGGGCGTCCGGATAGAATTAATCTTTTTTTTGTGAATTTTAAAAGATTATAAGATTAATTACAAAATAATTTCTTGTTAAAAAACCAAAACAACTTGCACTCCAATTAAACTTAATGGCTAATGAATATTTCATTATGCTAACTTTTATATAGTTATAATAATTACTAAATAAAATAATAGATAAAATATAGTTATGATTTATTCTATATATAATCGTTTATATGAATTTTGTTTTATACCATTCTATAAATATATTAATTAAACTTTAATTAAAATCCAGACGCCATAGATTGATTAATATATTGATTAATTAAATGGTGAATAAAAAAAACTTTACTTATTGTAATTTTGAAACCTTGAAATAAAGTTTATGTGTCCAATATTACTATAATATGTCCTTTTCGTAATACATGTAAAATCAAATACAAAATTATCTAAAAATTTGCTTAAAAATTACGTAAAACATAGCTACATAGCAAACAATATTAATATTTATGTATACGAAAGACCTTACCAATTCCATTTATAATTGCTTATTAATAAAAGTATAATGAATGATGATGGTTCATTAAAATAATTGTTAAATCTGATCTAAATTTTATAATGTGAATGTTCATAATTTTAATCACATCAGGTAACTTCTTATACACGAGCGTTGTCAAGTAATACACATTGGAAAGGCGATACCGGTTCCAGTCTTTGCATTCTAAGAAAATATCAACGTGAATATTTCGAACTATCAGAATTTTGTGTATAAAAGCCGACCGGCGTTTGGCAATAGTCATCAGTAGCGTCTAGCACCTACATCCATCATCATCACAAGAACAAGTAGCATAATCATGAAAAAAATCGTAAGTATCTCGATCTGTTTGAAATGATTAAACTACATTGAAATTTCTTTTGCAGATTTGTGCACTTGTCGTGACGTTAGCGGTTGCGGTGGTAAACGCTGGATTCTCCAGCTCGGGATACGAATCTGGACAGTACGGTTTAGGATCAGGAGGATACTCCGACGAGCATCAGCATATACCAGTCAGTACAGTGGAATACACCAAACCGGTGCACGTTCCTGTTGTGAAGAAGATCAGTTATCCTGTTCCTCATCCAGTTGGAGTACCTGTACCTCAAGTCATTAAAGTCCCTGTGCCACAGCCGTACGCGGTTCATATCCCGGTGCCCCAACCGATTGCCGTACCGATTTACAAGCTGGTGCCACAAGAAATCGAGAAACGAGTGCCCATTACCGTTGAGAAACCAGTTCCCTATCCAGTAGAGAAACCTTTCAAGATCGAAATTGAGAAGCATCATACTGTATACGTCCCGAAACCATACCCAGTCCATGTTCCAGTCTACAAGCATGTTTACCATCATGTACCAAAGCACGGAGGCGGTGGTGGAGGTCACGGTTGGCAGTAAATTGAAATGATCTGCTTTATTACATCTCAAGCAACTCATACCAAAACATATTCAGTTCATTGTAATTTAGTCATTTTGTTGTTGTTATGTTTGTAAGTGTTATTTAAGATTATCCTAAATAAATTGTTGTTTTATCTAAATTGCAATCAATTTTATACCCAGTCCCTAGACAAAAACCAATCTAAATTATTGAAATAATATATCCTAAACTAAATAAATATCATGAAGAAAGAATCTAAACATATAAAAAATATTCTAAATTTCTATCCGTGACTTTAGTCGAAATGGACCAATATTTTTTGTAATTAATTCATAATAATAGAAATATGTTAGCCCTTTGGCCAGCCAATTAATATATATTTTTTTATTGTATGTTAAAATTTATTTATGTATAAACTGTACTTTTTTTCTCTTCTTCTTATGTAACGATGGCCAATAAATTATTATTATTAGAAATATGTTCAGTATCATATTTCTACATATCTATCAGGAATATTTTGTTACCTGTGCAATAACTATCTTTTATTCTAAAACTTCTATTGGAATTTATTTCCTTCTTATTTTTTTTTTGGAAAATTCTGTACAAAAAAAAGTTAGATAGTTGAAAGGAATAAGTATAATTAATAATTATTAGATTCATGAGTGAGCGTCTGCTATTTCCTTCTAATTTCTCATTGTTCTCTTTAATTTGATTGTATGTTTCGAATGTGAAATTTCCTAGTTGGCAGAGGAAGGATGTTGACCGCGCGTGAGACCATGTGAGATTCCCTGTTTTTTATGAGTTTTACTCCAGATTAGCCTTTCACTAGGAGGCGCGGCCCCACCTAAAAGCACTTGTATAAAAGCGGAACGAAGTCCGACAAACGGCATCAGTTGCGAATCGCATCTTCTTCCATCACCGTCATTCCAATCAACCCGAGCATAGTCATTATGAATTCATTTGTAAGTGTTGAAGGTTTAACATAAAAAATGAGGAATTGATTTCAATTTTATCTGTACAGAGTTTTATCCTGTTCGTGGCGTTGTCTTCGGTGGCGAATGCTGGATTTTCTAGTAGCGGATACGATGGAGGACAGGGCGGTGACCAGGGAGGACATCTGGATATTAGCGGCGGAGGTGGAGGTGGTGAACACTATGATTTGGGTTCTGGAGGACACACTGAGGAGCATCACGAAATTCCCACTAAGACCATCGAGTATACAAAACCGGTGCATGTACCAGTTGTGAAGAAGATCGGTATTCCCGTTCCTCATCCGGTGGGAGTACCAGTACCTCAAGTTATTAAAGTCCCGGTACCACAACCGTACCCAGTCCATATCCCGGTACCTCAACCAATCGCTGTACCTATTTATAAACTGGTACCACAAGAGATCGAGAAGAAAATACCTATTACCGTCGAGAAGCCAGTCCCATATCCGGTAGAAAAGCCCTATAAAATCGAAATCGAGAAACATCATCCAGTCCATATACCAAAACCGTACCCAGTTCATGTTCCAGTTTACAAGCACGTCTATCACCACGTACCAAAGCACGGAGGCGGCGGTGGCGGTCATGGCTGGCACTGAATTTAAGATACTCAGCGAAGAACCGAGTAATTTAAGAGCACAAACTGATAATATCAAATCATTTTCATCCTTCATCATGATCACAATCATTGCTTTCATTGTTATACCTGTTATTTACTTTCTAATAATTATTTGTTGATTTTTTTTATTGTTTTTGTTATTAAATATATATATTTTTTTATAATAATTGCACTAAACGAAAGTTGGCCCCTTTCACCGGTGCGTCGTTCTCTTCTGTATCCATAAGAAGGAAAATGAAATTTGCCGATCGGTCGAGCGGCTCGGAATTTTCTAAAACGCCCGCGGATATCCGAGAGGAAGAGACGGATGGATGGAAAGTGAAATAACGGAAATTCCTGCCCGATTGCAAATTAATAAAATACTACTTATTTTCTTGTTTCGATCGGTTTATCGCGTCCTGTTTCCGGAACGAGACGGCCCATTTCGCTTCTACTTTATTTGTTGTCGCTCGTTGCGTTTTCGTTTTCGTCATCGGGCGACCACCAAAAGAAATAACAACCGAAGAAGAAATGGAAGAAAGGATCCTCTATTGTGCACGGAAAATTTATTGGTTCTTCCGTCCGGCGTTTGTCTCTACTTTTCGCACAGCAAAAAAGTGAACAAATAAAACGGAAACAAGGCATATTTTCAGCGTGTATTTGTGATAGGTTTCCGGATTTGAGGTAGAGCTGCTGAAACATACTTTAAAAGTACAATTTCTGATTTGTTTACGTAAACACCTACTTGTTATAGTACACTTATTTCTATGATATCCCGCACCTTTCTATGAAAGAAATCTACTTTGATTTGTAATACGTTTTATGGTAAAGTATATAAGGACAACGAGTGAATAGCTTATTAAATTATAGATTTCTTCAAGAAGCAAGCAAATTGGAATATTTTAACCATTCTAAAAGATAGTTTCAAATGTTATTATTTATATGTGAAATGGTTTACATATTTGAGTTTTACATAAGTAGTCATACTGCTTAAGCCTAAGCTCTTTCAGCATGCAGTTTGTGGATTACAAATTTTGATAAAAAATATATATATTTTACATTATCAGGATAAGAAGCACATATTTGTAGAGTAAGCCAGAACGTTTTTTAAACAGGAAGAGATTTTGAACATAAATAGACATTTTAGAGAAACATATTTAAAAATGTACACATTTAGAGAAATTTAGAGAGATTTAAGATTAACATTTTAAGGAACACCAGTTAAAAATACACAGATAAATACACATTAACACATTACAAAATAGAAGCAAGAAATTGGAACATCACAGAAAGAATGGGCTAATGTTTTGAATGAGATCATTGAAAATGGGAACATCAGATTCGAGATTCTGCACCACCTTAGCTGGAGCGAATGGGATTTTTGTTTTTAGTTTAAGCCTGAGACAGCTTCTGGGAGGAAGTTTGAATAAGGAAAGTGTGTGATGATTATGTGTTTGGATTCTTAGAGCTGTAGCATCTATATCTGTAGCATCATCTAATTAAAAGAGTTTTAAAATACATGTAATAAAATAAAGAAATTGTATTTAATGAAAATTGATTAAAATGAGGAATGTAAAACAATGAGGGTTGTTTCTACGTTTGTGCTTGTAGCAACGGTGATTTACCGGAGCCAATTATAATATGAAGCTGAGCCCCACGTTTTTGCGAAGGCGGCTGTGCGAAGGGGTTGGGTAGGCTCTCCGAAAGGGGATGTTGGCCGTGGGGAACGGCGCCCCTCGGTGTAACTGCAATATCCGCATTCCTTTCCTCTGTGGAATCCCTCCGTTGACAGCCAGAGAGAGGCTCCTCCGTTCGGATGCTGCCGCCTCCTCCGCCGCTTCTCCCGTCGCCACCGCTGCCGCCGCCCCAACCGTTCCCGTTAGTGCCTGATATTGCCGGCTGTCTGATAACGACTGGAATGTCGTTAGCTTCCCAAAACTAACGGTTAGACAGTGTTATTTATAGCCGTCACTGCGCTGATATTAAATCGGTCGGGAGATTGCCTGGCTTTTATTTGGACCCTCGCAACCAGCAGCCCACCGCCCCCTCGCTCCTACCCCTCTTCTGGCCCCACCAACCAGGACTCCGACGCCGCCACCGGCTCACCTCATTGTTTACCCATATGTATGCGAAACGAACGCACAAAAATTGCAAAGGGTACACACACAAAAGTTATGTCTTTATGGCACCGTCGCAACTCCCACACGCGCACATACTACAATCCATTCTTACCGAAGAAAAGGGAAAATCTCAACGCGTAAAAAAATTGTCTAGAAGAGAAAGGACACAAAAAGGGATGAAAGCAATTTCCTAAAAAATATTGCACCCAATAAAATGGAAATTATTCGAAATCTCAGGAATGATGGAAATCTTTGTTCCAAAATTCATAACATCAAAAGGTTGATTTTATCTCTCTCTCTAACATTAAATAATGTTTTAAAGTAAAAAATATATCAAATAATACAGTTCCTACTTTTTTATCTACAGGCTATATTAACTATAATATTAGAGTCAAAATCAAAATTAATCAAAACAAATTATTAATTAACTCTATTTATTATTAATGGTTAAATTAGTATGATTGTAAAGTTGCATAGCTCGCTTTCATGAATCGAAACATTTTTTATAATTAAGAGAAATCTGTGTCATACATTCCACGTATATATATATATTATAGACTCAATGTTGATCCCATTTGCGGTTGTTATTTATGCTCATAGATGGAAAGTGTAAATTTATAAACTAAAACTTTATTGTAATTTACAATTTATGCGATTTATTTATAGGTTTTCATCTGAAATTAATGAAAACTTTTGAAGGAAAATCAGTAAATTTTAATAAAATAATAAATATTTGTTGATCAAAATATATATTTTGTTTTATATATTGAATATGCTTATTTACATTTAATAATGTTATATAATTTAATTATTATTTATAAATATTAATGTATTTATTTTGATATACTTTTTCTAATATTGAATTAAAAGTATTTAAGTTAGTGTAGTTTGATTTTCATAGAATAGTAAACCTGGATTTGGATAATTCGAGGTGGTCTCATAAATCGTGAACAGCAGTAACATTTGGACACCATTTATGCGCATTTCGGTGGTAAAACGGTCTTCAAGGTAGCAGCTGAAATAGTTCTGAAGTGGTCGGTGCGGTCGTGCCGTGAGCATTTGAAACGGGAGGCGGCGGCAGTGGCGGCAACAGCGGCCCTTATTTAGACCGCAGAGAGCCTCCTGCATGCAACAATCACATCGTCTCGCCATAAATTACGCGCCGCCGCCGCTGCTGCTGCCGCCGCCTCTTTGTGCTGCCCCCACGACCATTCACAGACGATAGGCTTCATTAAATCCGTTATCGCGACTCCTTCAGAGCGAAAACTTTTAAAATTTATTTCACTTATCGTCATTCCGGACCCCCAGCCGCCGCCCCCCCTAAAAAAACACTTAATCTCATTCAAGAAAAGAGGGGACAAAAAAGAAGAAAATGACCGATCGTTCCATATAAAACGAACTCATTTCAATAATAACTTAACATTTTGTCATTTACATTATTTTTCTATATACTAATAGCATCTTCTGAAACAAAATGGATTATGAAATACAATACAGTCTAATTTGTAAATCCGAATTATATCCGAATATTATCCTCTATACGCATCGATGACTGAAAAAAATAGAGATAAACTACAGTAATCCTGCTGTAACAAATTGTTACATTTCAAGTACAAACCAAATGGAAATCTGTCATTCATGAAAAAAAAAAACTCCATCAAAAAGATCTCCCAGTATATAAACAATACAAGAATGAATCAATATTTTCTTCTCTACTTTATTTTAATGTGCTTTTCAACTTGTACAAACACTTATCACAACATATTACTTTCATTCTCTGAGATTATATATAATGAATTTCTTCTAATTCATCTTTAGTTTTATTTGTATTAAGGTGCGTATACACCATATTCCAATATGTTTATGTATGTCCATTTCTCAAAACATACATACTTTATGAATGAAAGTTATAAGGTTTGATTCAATATGTATATGATAATTTGTACAAGTAATTTGCAAAAACTTAACTACCTAAATATTACTATCATGCTGTCATAATATGCATACCTTCAATTTTATACACATTACATTAAATTTTAAATTGGCGTAATAGTTAATCTGATGTTTTGTTTAACAATGTGTCAGTGTCAATTAATATTAGATGATGAGTTATTTTAGACATAGTGTAAAATAGAGTAAATATGAACATATGATAATGTGGGTACGGTTTTGCAGTATGAATAATAATAATAAGAAGAAGAAAGCAGACAATGGATGACAGCAAGAGATGATGCATTGCTTTCGACAATTAAATATGTTAATTTTTGTTGCGAAGTTCAAGAGGTCGAAGAATGCGAAACTAATTCGCGCCCGCTTCTTTTTTTTATTTATGTCCACGCAGGACATGGACTTCATAAATCTGTCCGCTGAGTTAACACCTTCCTCGTCTACTTCGTTTCTCGCTAATATTATTTTCCTTTCACCGATTTGTTTCATTACTTCTTATTGTTATTTTTTCGTTGACGTCGCGTCTTCTCTTTTTTCGTTCATTTTATTTATATTCCTGCGATCCTTCGAATTCCTGCACGGCCTTATTTATGAAGACTCTGGTAAGTCGCGCGCGCGCTCGATCTTCATCCTCTTTTTCTCTCTCTTTCTGTCTGTTTCTCTTTTCCCTTTTGTTTTTGTTTACTTCTCGCATTCGCTTCGGCGCGACGCTCATCTCTTTTCAGCGGCTCCCTAATTTACACCTTTCAGCATCCAACAATTAAGTGGCCATCGCTCATTTGGCCGCTGCTCTTGCAGTGGCTTTTCCTGCATCCTGCAATTAATACACACTGATAGCACGAACAGCACCACGAGCATAATCAGATACCAATTATTCCGCGCACTAAATCATCCATGTAAATCTCAACTCCTTGCAGAAGACGAAGCCTTCGAG